CACTCTGACATTTCATAAATTAGTCAGATAGAGTTACCTCCCCTTAAGGAAAACAAAGGGAAATCAACTCTGACATTTCATAATATTAGTCAGATAGAGTAACCTCCCCTGAAGGAAACAAAGGGAAATCACTCTGACCTTTCATTATTAAAAAGTCAGATAGAGTTACCTCCCCTTAAGAAAACAAAGGGAAATCACTCTGACCTTTCATTATTAAGTCAGATAGAGTTACCTCCCCTTAAAGAAAACCCAAGGAAATCACTCTGACCTTTCATAATTCAGGAGCATAGAGTTACCGTCCCTTAAGAAAAAACAAAGGGGAAGATCAGCTCTGACCTTTTCATTATGAAGTCCCAGACTAGAAGTACGCCTCCCCCTGAAGGAAACAAAGGGAAATCACTCTGATCTTTCATAAATTAAGTCAGATAGAGTTACCTCCCCTTAAGAAAAACGGTTCTTTTAGGGAAATCACTCTGACATTTCATTATTTAGTCAGATAGAGTAACCTCCCCTGAAGGAAATCAAAGGGAAATCACTCTTTACCTGGTCATTTATTAATGTCCAGATAGAGTAACCTCCCTTGAAGGAAACAAAAAGGAAATCAAATATAACCTTTCCAGTTTAAATTAAGTCAGATAGAGTAACCCCCCCCTTAAAAAAAAAAGGGGAAAATTTCACTTACCTTTTTTTTTTTAAATAATTTAATTTTCCCCTTTGAGAAAAAAAAGGGGGAAAACCCCCACTCGACATTTCTTATTTAGTCAAAATTAAAAGTAACCTCCCCTAAAGGGAAAAAAAGGGAATTACCCTGCCCTTTTTTCAAAAAAAAGTAACCCCCCTAAGGAAAAAAGGGAAAAATTTATCCCAATTTTAAAAACCCCAGGTTTTTTTTACTTTTTTCCCTATGAACCCAGACATGCGTCGAGTGCAAAAATTTTAGTTAATTAATATTTTTTAATGCAATCCCGGCTTTAAGGGGGAAATTTAAACTCGGGAAAACGGGGCGTAAATTTAAAAATAAAAAATTAAGCTTTCCCCCTACCCAAGATGACCCCAAATGTTTTTTTAAAGGTTTAAAGGGGTCAAGGGTTTAAAGGGTACATTGGCCTTGTATTGTAAAAACGGTTGCCGATCAATAACTAAAGAACACGCTTAGGGCCTAAGAACTTCAAACATGGTATGGTGATTAGTCATGACCAGCAGATGACCCCTATTGATTTTGGGGTCAAGGGGTCAAGGTCAAGGTCACGTTGACCTTGTTATGTAAAAACGGTTTCCGATCAATAACTAAAGAACGCTTAGGCCTAGGAACTTCAAAAGCTTGGTATGATGATTGGTCATGACCAGCAGATGACCCCGACTGATTTTGGGGTCAAGGGGTCAATGTCATATTGACCTTATCCTTAATGACTCAACAACTCAAGCTGCCTTGGTTGAATTTTTTTATATTAAACTAAAAAATGCTTTTGGTATACACATTTGAAGGTCTTATGTAATATAACAACTTGGCTGTCATTAATGAGGCCTACATGATTTCATAAAATTTATGCCTTTATTATTTGGTAAGATTTGTTATAACTTAAATTGCTGCACACATCCTATGGGGTCACAATAATTATTACCTTGTGACTAGTCATGACCAGTAGATACTAGATAACCCATATTAATTGTTTGTTCACTGGGCCAGAAGTCATGCATATAACCTGATCAAATGACTAATTGGCTGCCGATAGGGGGCATACATGTTTAACAATTTATTTAATTAATTTATTTATTTATTTATTTATTTATTTATTTATTTGATTTGATTTGATTTGATTTGATTTGATTTATTTATTTATTTTTTTATTTATTTAGCTATTTACTTCTTCTTGTGATTTATTTAACTGCAAATGAAAAAATTTTTTAAAAAAATTAAAACTTTTAATTTTTAAGCCCCGGGTCCCCGGGTTTTAACCGGGGGGATTTTTTGGTTTTAAACCCCCCGCCGGGTCCGGTCTGGGTTCTATCTATCTAAAATGTTTTTGGCCCACCCCCTTTCCCGCCCCCGCCCTTTCCCCCAACCAAAACTGGTTTTCCCCGTTTAAAGGGCAAAAACTTTACTGAAAATTTTTTTTATAAAAAAATTTGATATATTTAAAAAATGTTTAGTAGGGAGATTTTTGCACTCTTTTTCTTTTTTTCCCTAAAATTTAAAAAATTTCTTTTTTGCTTTTTCCCAAACAAATAGACTAAAAATTTTTGGGAAAAAATTTTAAAACACAAAAACGGGAAATTCCAGTGTAATCAAAAATTAAAAATACTTTTATGAAATTTAAAAAATATGAGAGACGCCCCAGGGGGGGGGAAATTATGCACATTTTATTCTTTTCTTCCTATGTTGAAAATTCTGGTTGCTATGGCAACAAATAGACAGAATTTCAAGATTTCTGATTTGAATGTTTACGCTTTTTCACTATATGTTCTTTATTTCTTAAGGTGTTTACTTCAAACTTTAAATATAAGTTTCTGGTCATCAACCACATCATATGTGACACGGTTTAAAACTCTAGCACAAAATTTATCAGAATTACCTCCCTTGTACTTATAATTTTTATGAAAAAAATGTTGTTTTTTTTCAATAACTTCGTTATTTCTTAATGTATCTACTTCAAACTGTAATATAAATCCGTGTTATCACTCAACATTTGTGAGAAGGTTAAATACTCTAGCAAGACATTTTTCAGAATTATGTCCCCCTTGAACTTAATTTTTTTTCGAGAAATTGGTATTTTTCACTCCAACTTCTTCATTCATTACAGGATTTACTTTAAAATCCCACATCTTAATACTATGACAAGGTTTATAAATCTAGAATCCATATTTCCAGAATAATCTCCTCCTTAAACTTTGAATTTTTCTTTTTTATTCTTTAACTTTCTTATTTCTTCATGGATTTTCTTCAAATTCAAAATAAACATTCATTATCAACACCTACATTATATTTTTTTTTATAATTTTCATCTTTGTTACTAACTATACATTGTAGTTAATGCTATAATTGAAATTTGTTATTTTTTACTTATCTTCTTTGTGACTATAAATGGTATCTTTAAACTTAAAGTAAAACTCACATCATATATAACAATGTTCATAAAACTAGCATCTTTATTTCAAGAGTTATCTCCTCTTTAAGAATTTTGCATTAAATGTTATGTTATATTTTGGTAGCAGGAATGTTTAAAAAAATAACTTTAGAGTCTCCTTCAGTCTGTCTGTCTGTCTGTCTGTTCATGAAAACTGTTTCCTGAGATAACCTCTAAAGATTTTTTTCAATAAATTTACTTAAAATAGAGAACAGTTGAAACATTTGTTATACTTAATCATACGAAAGACCGGTAGGGCCATTTCAACTTCATGAATTCCCGATTTCATCTTCATGAATTCACAATTTAAACTTCGTGTATTCCCGTTTACAGAATACGGAATTCACGAATTCACGATTCAGCTTCATGAGTTCACGACTTCAACTTCACGAATTCACGATTTCAACTTCACGAATTCACGATTTCAACTTCATGAATTCACGATTTCAACTTCACGAATTCACGATTTCAACTTCACGAATTCACGATTTCAACTTCATGGAAAATTGGACTATTTGATTATCTGTTGTATAAACATAATTTCCTTACTAGGCAGGGAAACTTAACACATTACTATGATATAGACAAACTTAGAACTCAAAAGATTTAAGTTCATTCATGTCATTCATTCACTGGTAAAATTGAATGGCTAATGGCCCATCAGAAATTGATGTTGCTGGGGTTCTAACCGGTAGGGGACGTATGGATTGCTTGCAATACTATGATAATTGCTTGTTTACGATGACATTTTCGTGTACAAGAATGGGTACATGGTTACAGGCATTTGTCTGATCTACTGCTCTATATGATAAATGAAATAATACTAAAATCAATGTTTTCAGATTTTCTGATATTGTTATCTTGCACTCATATACGCTAGTACTTAAATGTATCAATCTCTGTCCTTCTGGACAGGAGGGGACAAAGAGACTTTTACCGAGTAACTAATGCATGCAGTTATGATTCTTTTTTGTCAATCAGAGTCATTTTCAGTAGAATATTTAATTCATCTTGGTGTATTTTCAGTTATGAAATTTTATTGTACGAAAACTAGGCTTAAGAATTATTTTACCTAATAGATAGGTAAAGAATTGCAAGAACAATACATAAACAAATATAAAAGACATGTATAGCAATAAATTATGAATAAAGCTTGTCATTCAGACAAACATTCATGTTTTTTTTTACTGTTGCCATTTTATTTCAGTTGAAAGTTTTACAGAAAGGTTTTTGTACAGAAAGGTTTATTCATGCAGTTGTTATGTTTAAAAAATAAAAAAAGTTCATTCAACGATCATTTAACCCAAACTTGTGCTTAGTTGTTTCTTACAGCGGTTACTGTTATAAAAACTATCGTACATAACTGTTTTACAATCTTTGTACTCTATTTATTTAAAAAGTATTGTGTATTTCAAAGTGCCCTTTGAAGTACATTTAATATACACAATGAATTGTACTAGAGGTGCACATGTAGTGCACTAGAGGTGCACATTGAGGTATACTAGAAGTACACATGTAGTGCACACCAAGTACACATTAATGTGAACTCATCTGTACGATATGCACATGGAAGTGAATCTCTTATTGACTTTACAACTTACACATTTATGATGAATCAGCAAGACCATAAATAATCAAACTATTCACTTGGCGGATGATTTTGCAATTTCAACGGCATTAAAGATAAACTGGTATAAAGCACAAAACACACCTAGTACAATCCTGACCAAAAAAGGAAAACTCTCAGCTGAAATATTTACAACACAACCTTAAATATACCTACAGTAAAGTAGAAAAGACCTTTTGTCTTCAAGCATTAAAACAGGCTTTGGCTATAAAATTAGTCATACAACGGTTTACAAAAAGTATATATTTTCTCATCATCATCATTTTAAATTCAACCGTGAATCATGCATATTGAGCAATTAAGTGTATTCTCATAACCAAATAAATTCCGAACAATTATTGAATTCCAGCTTATGTTTGGATGTGTTCTTATATTTTGTATTTTTTGTCTTCTACGCATTTTCGTGTAGCCGTCCTTATCGTAATATCATCTATATATGATAACCGTCAAGTTCATAACATATAGTTTTTCTACCTTGACACAATTACATATTATACATCCATTTTTGTATCACTCGTGAGTAATGTTGCATAATGTTTTTAACTATTTTCGCCCTTTTTGTAAAAATTATTTAAGAAGAAAAAATCAATTTAATAAAAAGATGCAGTAAAACACGTCAGACTATAAAAATGGAATAACAAAAGCAAATAAATATTACATTAACATTTTCTGTTTCTGTTTTGCTATTTATTAAGTTTATTTTAAAAAATGATTTTTGGCAGTAGAGCAAAATATCGCATAGTTATTTTTGTCAAATGTCTGAGCAATTCATCACCGAATAGAGTAAAACAGAATCCAACACGACAATATTGAAAATGTTGCAGGCTCGGTTTGATTGAGCCTGTTCATGGACGGTATTGGAAAGTGCAACGTAGCACCGGCTTAAGCAGAATTCAAGATTAAACAAGAAAATGTTGAAATTTTGAATTAAGAAACATCCGCAGATGTGTTCATACGACGGTTATGGAACCTTCAATGTGACACAGGAGTGTCATTCCATGAAAAGCGGCGTATGGTCCCCAAGTAATAGAATGCTATTGCCCTAAACCTTCCTATCAGCTAAAATTTCTTGCATCAAGCGATCAAACACTCTTTTGGTATGACTACACTGGGTATTGACAAGTCGTTATATTCCTGTATATTCGAAAAGGATTTATATCCAAGTTCTTTATAAACATCCTTGCATATTTCCTCCATTTTCTCAACAGTTTCCCATTTTAAAGTTTTTCTCCACCAAAATGCAGTATTTTTTTTTCGTTCCGTTTCACCTGATGCTGCGTTCTTAAAAGCCGAAAGTTTCATGATATTTGGGTAATATTTCTCATTTGTATTCATACCTAAATAGTTATATAATATTTTAGACTTGTTTAAAATATCAACGCTAAAATCTTCGTAATAAATAAATCTGAATCTATCTGGGAATAATTTTTGCACTTTTTGACCTTCGCGAAAATCGTAAAGCATTTTATTGCACAATGATTTAGCGTTTTCTATTATCATTTTGTCCGTGTTTGAAGGGTACCAATCGGTCTGAATTCTAGAATTTATAATAGCACGTGGATCTCTGAAGAGATGAATGACCTTGAGATTGCCACGTGACTGCAGAACAGGCGCCAAGAGGTCTGTTGTAAGTCGTAAAACTTTTGTGACTTTATGTGTAGAATCTTTACACATTCTCGGTATATGTCGTTGAAAACATATCTGGTAATTGACCTTGTGTTTCATACACTCTCTTGTTGCATTCCAGCTTGGACCTGTTCAATTAAAAATACAAAATGAAGTTTTTGTAAGCTTTATTTGACTAATGTACAGAACTCTATGTTTGCATAACGTCATTTAAGATTTTAAAGGCCCATTAAGCCCAAAATAATACTTTTATTCTTCCAAATATTATTATTTGTGTTGTTATAATAATATTTTTTACAGTTGCTTCAATCGTGTGTAATTTGCATTCATAACTCACCTCCTAATTTGGGTGTTAACGAAGGTTCAACCACTGTCTGTTCATAATTGTTGAATTGGCAATCGTAGGTTTTGCGCAAGTTATTCTTAGCCAGCACAAGAGAACCAGTAGGCCGCCTGAAACAAGTACTCTGTTTATCAATAGTTCATTGACGTCAACACAATGCGAAATATCATGTGAGTCCTTAGTAAGTTTTAATACTAAATAAAATAAATGAAAAATGTAGAAAGAACTATTTTCACCTTGCACAATATAGTTTAGTTATATCTGCGGATATTTCTAAATTCAAGATTTCACCTTATTTTGTGTATAAATGTTGAATTCTGCTTAAGCCGGTGCTAAAGGGTGTGGACGGTAACTTGCACCAACACAGGTCCACCGGGGCAAGGAGCCCAGTAAGACACCAAACAAAAGTAGGACAGGGCACAAGATTGTCGAGTTTTGAAAGGAAATAAATTTGTTTGCAAATGAACTGAACTGAATTGAAATGAACTGTCTACATTGGGGTCATTTAACAACGCCTAAATACTGTAAAATGCAACTTTTGCTAGAATTTTAATCTGTTTATTAACATAAATGTTAAATAAACACATGCTTCTTTATTTCTCTCCATTTAGTCTTTGTCCCCTTAGCACCGGATTAAGCAAGATGCATCATTTTTATATTAAAATGATGTTCTTTGGGAGTTAATAGTTTAACCCGTAAAATTGCTGTAACCCTTTAAAAGGTCTATTAGCGGATGGTTTAACAATTATGTACAAATGCATTTTCTAGTAATACCAGGATTTGTTACACGCTCCTGCTTTTAGACAAACATTAATGTTATTGAAACGCTCATTTATCCTAGGATGAATAGCACCGTCGCTCAAAGAACATTTTTCTATGTGTCCAAAATGTGTTATTTGAAAAGGTATAATTTCATTTTACTATGTCTGGAGGTGAAATTAACACAAAGATATGTACATGTATTATCAAATGCGTTTTGGGGGAATGTACGTTTATGCTACATGATAATTAGGATAAAGTTTCTTTTGGAAGATAAAGTATGAACTTTTCAAATATATAAAAGGATACCTGTAAAGGTTGTCTACAACAGATTTGTCTGGTATTGCCTTCCCTGGCTCCACATGTCTGTAAACAAAAGCCGAGTTAGTACAATTTTAATAAAATGCACTCTATCTCTCTTTCTTTCTGTCTTTCTTTGTTTGTTTGTTTCTTTCTTTTTGTCTTTCTTTGTTTCTTTCTTTCTTTATTTCTGTCTTTCTTTAGTGTTTTAAGTGTAAAGAACTGATTCAGACGTGAAATATTTAGGTGTTGGTTGATGCTAAAATCATGATGTGGTACACTTTGCATACAATTCTTTCCTGCAAGGATCATTCCAACTAACTAAATTATTATATAACAGCTTTGTGATCAATCGGAATTCTTTTTATATGGTGTTTCTGTCATTTACTTTTTCATCAGCTGAATATAACTTCTTCAAGCATTTTCTTATGCCTTTTCTCTTCACCTACTATGAATTTAAATTACTTACCTACTTTTTCCTATAAACCTACTATATAGTATTTTACATACTCTTATAGTGGCGTTTACCATCATTTTACTACATTTACCTTGGCGTTTGTTTATTATCCTATTCAATATGGCGTTCTGAATTTGACATTGGTGTCATTACCCAGTACTACAAAATTTTCCAAGATTTTTTCATGATGGGGTTAATTAAAATTAGTAAATCTTGTGCATTTAACCCTCCCTAAATAAATAATTTGTAGAAACACCATCACATTCGGTAGAGTTTCAATTTCCTAAAGATTAATTATCACTGCAATTTATTTCCTACAATCAAATACGGTACCACCGGACGGGTAAAAGATTATTTCATGATATGTTCTAACAATCGTTTGCACCAAACCCATTCACATACCTGCACTCTAGACGATCAGATCTGCACACCATGTTGTAACCATGCCAATATGTCCACCTCGATATTTTCCACAAGGGCTCGTAAAGGTAAAATGTATCCGCTCTGTGCCCGAGAACCATTCCAGTTAAAGTACTTCCGCCTCTCATGTAACTATTCAATAACACATCATAGTATTTTACTGAAAAAAGAGACAATCTTATTCCACTCTTCCTAAAGAGACGTCATTCGATCTTATGATATAACAAGAGCACCGCATGCGGTGCTAACGCTCATCCATAAGGACAACATCGAAATTTTCAATTTTGATAAAAAGGGGCTTAACTCCAAAAGTATAGCTTTCAGAATTATGCACTTTGTCTAACAACTGCACATTGTCATAATTATCTCCTTGTTGCTGACGGTTTGTATTTGCAGGTTGAGGCATCAGAATTGCAGCCATCGTTTAACCTTGAGTTATGGTAATAGGCGACTTTATGGGGTCAAATTATTGAAAACTATACATTTCTTATATCCAGCAGGTTAAATGGTTTTGACCATAGGTGTTGCTTTTAGTTTATAACACTCAAGGTTATCCAAAATCATCTTTCTTGTTTCGGCGCCTTCGGTGCTTTTGCTATATCATAAGATAAATTGTATTCGTACGCCGTTAAACTAAACAAAACAAACAATTGTCATTATAAGGTAGTATTCCAAATTTCAACATTAAAGAATTCAATTGAGACCAAAATATATAAAATTTGAAATATTTAAATAGAGTAACTGTGGCATTTAAGCCTGAAACAATATGCAAACGTCAAAAAAGTAATAAATTAGGAATTCAATTTAAATCGATTTTAAATTTATTTGAGCTAAAGGCGTTAAGTATTTTCTATTTTTGGGACATTTTGCACAATTAAAATGAATATTCTTGAAAAAAGGAGTGACCGAATGATACAAATATCACACGCCAGTTTATGATGCGAACCTACATAAAATGGTATAAAAACGATAAAATATGCCAATCGCGTAAATGGATCCGGGGTCTCTTTAAAGTTGTTCATTATGTCCGTTACGGCTTTGCAAAATATATGAACAAAATTGTCATTGACCTTAAATGGAAGAAATCGTTATGAAAACCGATTTTATAATGAAATGAAATGAAATGAAATACGTGTCTGTCTTAAGGAACTGAAAGCTGACTAAGAAGAATTTTAACTTACTTTTGAATACCGGCCTTTGTGGACCAATGTCTCCCATTCTGTTTTTAGACACTGGATCTGGTAATGCAAAGTGACAGAACGTCATCATTGTCGTAGGAAAGAGTTTAAACAATTATAAAGTAATAAATTGTGATAAAGTTTACATGCCTTGTAGGCGTCAAATCAGAGAAATAATTGAAAACAAAATAGATGTGTTTACTTCTTTTAAACATTTTACCAAAAAAAATGGATCGCTTTTGAAGACATTCCACAAATAGAGCATGTAAAAATAAAAAATTCATTTTAGACGCCATCTTGGACGCCATCTTTGATTTTTGGAGTTTCCCGGTAGGGAACTTAATATATCTTTTTCATAATCTACAAACTATAAGCTTTCAGAAAATGTAAGTTTAAATTCTGTGCAGATTTTGTCCGGGTATACGGAAGCACAGACTCTACTACAGTGTATATGTATAATAGAAATGTTGATATACGGTAGGTTACCATTTAGATAATAAGACGTTCAGAGACAGTGCAACACTGATAGATCAATTCTGAACCGACACGTCACGTGTACAAATGAACCAAATGTCGCCTTTTTCTTTCTTTTATTTTTATTATATCATTGTTAAAACCGTTATTGTGTGGCACATATCTAATCGATGATAGTTAAAAGTAATGTCTCTTGATTGAGGCAAACTTACTTGATACACTTACGTACTGCATGTGTAAGTATATGATAGCTGAAATTTAAAAAAGAATATATGTCAATGTTTTGTCAAAAACATACAAAATACTGTGCTAGTGTGTTAGATGTCAAACATTTTGTATTACTTGGCCTTACTATCAAGAGTATGTATTCGACCAAGTATTCTTAAAGCAGTACGCATCAAGATTCATGCAAATTTTCATGAAAAATGTATTGAATATTTAAACAGAACATAGAAAGTAATTGACACATTTCAACCGACACTTATAACATGAATCGAGCTCGGCATTTAAATGCTTAAATAGTGAGGTTGTAAAATCTTATCAGAGTAATACATCAATATATATCAGTCCACAAAACGGACTTATGCTATAAATAATTAATATCACCGAGTCCAATCGTTCACTATGTTTCCCAGGCGGAGAACGCATGAAGAGATCAATTTTACAGGTGGAAAACCGATACTGTGATAAGAAAATTGTCTTCAATTTCTTTGAAAATGCACATTTCACAAAACTTTATAGCCTATTCTGATCTCGTATGATTACTTTATCCGACAGGCATCTCAAACTCGCCAAATCTTTGTTAACTTATTAGATCATTATCGACAACTGCACAAGAAAAGTAACAAAATTGGTAAAATCGCTCTTTGATAGCCAATAACTTGACATCCAAGCAAACTTCTAAACATTTACATCGCTCTAAAGGTTCTTTATTAACATATCCTTTTCCACCAAACGCCTGTTCTATTTCTATTCCGTATTTTTGGAGTATAATATCGTTTAAGCGAATTTTCAAAATGAACGCACGAGCCGAACTTTTCATGTGGTTTCATAGGTTTGCAAAATGAACGCATGAGCAGGTGGTATTTTTAAAACTCCAGTTTTTCCTAATTATCGAACAAATTTAACATATTCAAACTTTAAAAATTTCAAATTTTATTTCAAATAAGTGAGAGACACTTCTTTTTACAAATTAAAATATACTTTGTACGCTGTATGTATATAATTATGGAAAGATCGTGTGAAATTGAAGTAATTCCTCGTTTGTTACACATATTATCAGCTTTGATGAACAACCTCTTATTGAATAACTTAATCAAATCAATATTGTTTAATACATAAAACAGAGAGATAACTAAGTATTGTCATGTTGAATAAAATCAACAACTGACGACATTAAGCTGATTTACATAATAATCTTACATGACACTTTGGAAAAATCCTTGATTTTTGCACGCATTGTAAATGATTGTTTTACAAAATATGTACTTTGTACTATTATACAAAAATTGGAGCATATTGACATGAAGTTAGGTCAGCTTGATAAAATTCAATTATTGGTGAGTGATTTAACGGTGAGAATCGACGAAATGGACAAGAAAGTGTGCGAAATAGAGCGTAGCCAAAAGTTTATTGGTGATCAATACGAGTCAGTGTCAAAGTGTACAAACAGTAATAAAATTAGTATTCAGTCAGTAAAACGAGAAGTTTTCAAAGAGCTACAATATGTGAAATGCGGAACTGAAAACAAATAGTGGAATCTATGGCCGAATCTATTGTTTGATTTAAAATGTAGGTCTATGAGAGACAATCTATTATTTTTTTTGGCATCCCAGAGGGAACTGTGTCGGGTTTCAATCATGTACCTAGGGCTTACTCATATAAAAGAGGAGAGATGCAAACGAAAAACCCACCAACCCGCACAAAACTCCACCGAGGATACCCTTACATATGCAGATTGTACCAGTAAAACCATTGTCACGGATGACTGCGTCGCTAAAGTCAATTTGTTTTGTAAGCAGATATTGAATATTGAAAATCCAGAAACAACGCTAAATATTGACAGGGCACATAGGGTAGGTGCCCATAATCCGGATAAAACTCGTCCGATAGTAGTAAAATTTAGTACGGACTCAAAAATGACTGTGAAAAACGCATTAAAGAGCATCAATTTATATCAGACGCCATACAATGTTAGCGATCAGTTTTCCGCCCGAGGTACAACAACGAAGAACGTGAATTGATTCCCAAGATGTTGGAGGAACGCCGTGCAGGAAAGAGGGCCGTTCTAGTCAGGGGACAAACTGTTCATAAATAATGTACTATATAAACCTGAAAAACAACAACAAATAATGACAGCTAGGAATGCGCAGAAAAGTTTGACTTAAGTTTATTATCATGGAACATTGAAGGGTTATCCACCTGTTTCTCGATGATGAAGACTTTTCTAAATTTTATTTATAAATATGACATAATTTTTTTTTCAGTGAAAACTTGGGAACGTAGCAAATGATAACTTTTCACTAGATGAATACGAATGCTTATCAATACCTAGAATAGAATCGCTTTCAAAACCGAAGTAGAAGAGGTCATGGTGGAGTGTGCCTGTATTACAGGAAATTTTCTGAAGGATGGAATCGAAATTGTTGAGACTGGACAGTAACGGCATAATATGGGTTAAATTAATTAAAGACTTTTTCCAAAATGATTTTGATGTATTTCTCTGCTTTATGTATATACCACCCTAGTAATTCTGTTTTATTTTAATATACACGATATTTGGCTTTTTTTGAATGCACTTTGAAATAGGTGTCCGAAAATATTCTCAATGCGGTAAAATAGCGGTTTTAGGTGACCTGAATGCAAGATGCGGTAATAGGTCAGACATTTTAGAAGAAATGGATCATTTTAACCGTTATATTTATTCGATGGAAAATTGTGATACGAATAACAGTAATATTGTTATTAAACCCGATAGAAAATCAATGGATAGTACTGTCAATTCTTCGGGAAATAAACTTCTTGATTTTATGCTTGAGTACTGATCTTAAAATTGTAAATGGGAGATTAGGGGAATGATGCAGGTATAGGCAATTTTACCTTTATGTCTAATACAGGTAAAAGTCTAATTGATTATGTGCTTATGCAGTGCGAGTTATTTCCCTTTGTACATGAATTTAAAATTACAATGATTTGTTTACTTTTTCACATCATAAACCTGTTCAACTTGATCTGAGTTTTGCATGTATATCGAAAATCATTGATAATGAAAGTATTAGTATTAATGTATTAAAATGGAATAACGAAGATAGAGACAAGATTGATAATTACAAAGAAAGTTGATTGAGATTTGAAATTACGAACATTGACATGATTGTGAATAGTGTAATTAGAAATGATGTTTGAATTAGATATAAGGTATACAGAAATATATCAGATGTTTTATATTGAAAAATCATTTAGTATATTTGGAGAGTCAAAAGAAATAAGAAAGAATACAAAATAATAGAAAGAGAAAAATTTAAAAAAGTTCATGGTTTAATCAAGAACTGTGAGAACGCTAGAAAAGAGTTTAAACGTGCAAATAAAAAATTATTGTAAGAAAAACAGGTCGAATCAAAATATAGAATTACTTGTTAATAACAGACGTCTTTATAGAATAGGCTAAGAGGCGAGCACGTACTAAATTTCATTTAAATCAGAGAAAGAAATGTCATTTTTAGCTGGCACGCAGCCACAAAAGTTTTGGAAGGAAATAAAAAAAATGAGAAAGAAATCAAGCCAAAAATGAACTGTCATCGGAAGATTTTTTGAGCATTTTAAAAACTTATTTTTCCAAACGGAAGAGACATTCAAAATAATTTCGTTGAGGAACATTTAGATAATAATGATATATTTTACAATAATGTTGAAGAACTTGACATGGATTTTACGATCGATGATGTGATAAAGGGCTATTTCTACGCGCTTAAGAGTGGTAAAAGTGCTGGTATAGATAAACTTATTCCCGGAGATATTTATTGAATGCAAAACAATTTTTTAGCACCAATATTATGTAAATTGTTTAATCATATTTTTCAATTCAAATTGAATATCCTGAATCGTGGTGTAGTGGTATTATTGTACCAGTGCCCAAGAAGGGTAACCTAAATGATGTGAATAATTACAGGGGTATCACCCTTTTACTAGTATATTTTCTAAACTTTTTCTCAATATTGTTAGACATGAGATTACGTAAATGGGGCCGAAAGTAATGAAATATTGAATGATTTCCAGTATGGTTTTTAGGAAAGATAAAAAGTACTACTGATTGCATTTTTGTTTTATGTTCAATTATTAATAAGATAATACGTCATGAAAAGAAAAAGGTATATGCATCATTTATTGATTCAAAAAATGTTTTGATATGTTATACAGAAATGGAATATGGCTTAAATGGACTGAACCTGGTGTATCATATAAAGTTGTAACAATGTTACGTAGTATGCATAAATGTGTGAAATCTTGTGAAAGAGCAAATGGTAGCCTGTCAGATAATTTTGACAATAATATGGGGTCAATTCAAGGGGAACCACTCTCACCCTTTTTTTTAAATTTTCTTTGTAAATGATATGTACGAATATTTCAAAATAGATAATGTTAATGCATTTTCATTAGATGATATCCAAATATTTTTACTACTATTTGCGGACAATACAGTTTTATTTTCTGATTCTAAGGAAGGATTGCAATGCCTCCTTAATAAACTTATTGTACTAAGTGGGGTATTGTGGTGAATGTAGATAAAACGGTTGCTATGGTTTTTAAATCTCGAAATAGAAATGAAAATGTAGAGGTATATTACAATAATGAGCTACTAAGCGTTGTTAAGTCATTCACCTATCTTGGTGTTATATTATCGTCTAATGGGAAGTTTTATCAAGCCCAAAAGGCGTTATCTAATCAAGCGCTTAAAGCATTATACTCTGTTAATTCTTTATTTGATTCAATTTCCCTTAATGTAACAGAACAAATATAATTTTTGATAGCATGGTTTTACCGATTCTTACATATAGTTCAGAGGTATGGGGTTTTCATAAGGCACCAGACATCGAAAAGGTACATTTGAAATTTTTTAAAACAAGTTCTTGGTGTACGTCAGCAAACTACAACATCAGCAGTTCTTGGTGAATTTGGACGATTTCCATTATTAGTTCTGCGAAAAGTCAGAATTGTTAAGTACTTGTACAGAATTATGAAATCCCCAAACTCT